CCAGCGGCTGGTGTGAAACTGGGCAGGGGATCTGAAGATGTCTTTGTGGCAGGGAAGAAAGAGTATAGAGATCTTGTACATAAAAAAATGTAGACACCGAGCAAGCACCTGCATCCTGTGTGATTCTGAACATGCAGTTTTGTGCCATCCTCTGCAGTTGGGAGGAAAGGGGTGCACTGGCGAGAGAATCTTCATTCTGCTGCCATCCAGACTCAAAAGTGGTTTGTCATTGAAAGTCTGGGCTTCAAAGAGCTGAGCCAGTCATCACTTAAGATATTGAGCTAGTTGCCTTGTCCAAGCAGAAGCCTCACTGCTCAGTGCGTTGGAGAATGATTTATGTGAGCTGACTGTAGCCCAGTTCCTGTGGCTGGGTTCTGGCCACCTTGGTTACCAATCGCCTTCTGCTCACATCATGTTCATGCTCATGTACACCCCAAGGAAGTGGCTCAAGGCTTGAGTGCCCTGTAGGAATGTGGAGAAGGGACAGAGTCACAAAAAACCATCAGATTCTTTACCTCTACTACAGTTTTCACTGCAGGGAAAAGTCTGTGTTGATCTCTCCTTCTTGTATAAATTGGTTGGTTAGGTTCTCATGTGACTGGTTGATTACTAAGTCAGGGTAATTTGTACAAATTTTCCTGGGCCCTGAAATGATGGTTTGGGTGAATTTAGTCAAGATTAAAACCTGCTTGGACTTTGGCAACTAAAGGCCAAGATTCTTCTACTGGAAAGCTACCAAGACATCTGAGAAATGGAATGGCGTCAAATTAAAAGGACCAGGCCCAGGAAGGACTGATGAATTTTTGTCCTTCTGTTCCATATTATAAGTCCTATCTGTAGGACATTCCTTAGACATTGCCACATGGATAATTTTTGTTAACTGGCTTATAGAATGTATGCATGAACATTGTTTTCTTTTTTAAACATAAATAACTATGCATTTTATTCACTTGTTTTGCTAGTTTGCTACTCTGTGGGTGGTTTGGCCAGATTTGGTGTTATTAAGACCTTTACATTCTGATTTTAACTCCAAACATTTCACCAAATTCTACCCAGTGTAAATTAAAAACAAATATATATGCAATCAACACATTGGAGGGAAGAAGTTTTGTTTGGAGTTAAAGTCACTTTGCAGTTGGCAAAATACAGTTACACTAATTTGTATTGCTCTTATTCCATCTGCTTTATGGTTTAAAATGTCCTGGATTGTCTCAGACTCTATATGCAATATTTTCCATTTACAAAATTTTCCTGCATAACCCATTTTATTTTTCTGAGAGCTTTTGAAATGCGATATTAGTTAGTTTCAGATTTCCAGAGTCCAGTTTGATGTGATATGATTCTTGATCTCATAAATGGATGATAAAACCTAAAGGGAGAATCCAGGGAAGCTTCTAAAGCTAAATATCTGGTGGACGCAGTGTAAATTCTGCCAAAGAATGGATAACTTCCAGCAGCTGGTCTTTGTACAGTAGAACCCACGTACTCTCCAGCAAATTCTTTCTGAGGCTACCGCATCCTACCACTGCTCCTTTGTTATGCTTAAATACATACTGCCTACATGCCTTCTTGGAACTTGCTAATTTTTTGGAGCCATGGTGGCATGAGTGTTTATACAATTTTTTCTTTAGTACTCAATTATGAAAGGGGGGGCTAGAAATGAGCAAAAATGTTAGCGATTACAGGAAAATATCATGCAAGCAAACAGAAGTCTGTCTCTGTGACCCTAGATGGAGGGGTGGAGGTGAGAAGGGTGTGGCTATGTGCCAGGGTCTGGTCTCCTCCCGTCTGTTTGCCAGCAGTTCCACTCAGCCACTTCTGTGCATGGCGCTGGGTGGGCGGGGGTGGCGATCGCCGAGCAAAGAGATTCATCAATTTCAGCCACATTGCCTGCGTTTTCAAGTAACAAATAGGATTGTTTTGAAAGCAAGTTGGCAGGCTATTTTCATGGTAACTGGAGTTGTTTAGAAGAAAGAACCTTTGAAGCTTTTAGTCTAGAAACAGCAAGAATTTTCTGTTTTGCCTCTTGAGCATAGAACATCATTATATAGTTTACATATTCTATGACATTTCTCTTGAATTATAACACCTTACATTTTAATTCTACTTCCCAGTATCCACATAATGTTCATAAATATCCTTCCAGTTAAAACTCCAATGAGCAAAACTTCACAGGAGTGGGAATGCATGGCATTATTCTTTTATTGATGTAGGTGTGAAAATTAAGAGAAAATATAACTTGTTTAGGGACACGAAGCAAGTAGGTGGCAAAGGGGGGAACTTAGAGCCGAAGTCTCTTGACTCCTAGTACATCCTTTGTTCTGCTGGAAAATGCAGTGCTTAATGACACTTAGCACTATAGTGTCCTTCATGAAGAGGGGACCCTCTGGGTTCTAGGCAGGAGGTCACTGCCCTGTCCTTAGTAGACACTCGGGGCTAGGTTCTTCTTCAGTTGGTGGCTGCAGGTAGAATCTGTCATGATGAGTTAGTACTACCTCGCCTACCGGATTTTCTGGACAACTCACAACTTTTGCTGAAGAAGAGCCAGAACGTGTCCTGTGTCTGGAGCCTCACTAGTCTGCTGGCACACTCAGGTCCCAAGGTACCTAGTGGCTTCCAAGTGCTTGAAGCTGTGCTCTTTGTACCTGTGAAGTGTATTGCTATTTCCCAGCATGCACTTGCCTGACTGATGCTTTACACAAAGCTGTCCAATTACCACCCATCTCCTTATTGGTCCAGCCTCCAGAAAGTGCTCAGGAATGAACATTGCTTCCTAAATAGTAGTTGCCTTTATTCTAGATTTTGGTGTTGCTGTCTTATTGACTGGCATTCTAAAAAGCTGAAAGGAGGCTAGTCTCATTGGCCTAGCATGACTGTGGGATGTTTTAGTTTTGCTGATGTGTATAGACTCCTTTCCACATTTTTTACTACAACTAGGAATACAATGCCTACTCAGCAGTACAAACACCCAAAGAAGTGCTGGCTTTCTTTTGTTTTGTTTGCTATTGTTTTTGTTTTTTTGAGACAGGGTCTTGTTATATAGTTCAGTCTGGTCTTAAACTCACTATGTACCCCAGTCTAGCCTCAAACCCATAGTGATCCTCCTGCCTCAGCTTCCCAAGCATTGTGATTAAGCATGCACCACCACTTCTGGCACTGGTGGCTTTCTTGAAAGTGCAAAGAGTGGAAGCCATCAACATTTAGTGTGCAGATAATCTCCACATTTTGTTCTTCCCACTAGCCATATTCATAGAGCTTAGTAAGAATATCTTAAAATATATAACTTGTCTTCTCGATTTAAGTGAACCCTTCATTACTTAACACAGGAGCCTCTAGAGAAAGAGATCACCTGCTTGGCTTTTGGGAACATGACTCAGACTTTGCTCACGTTTGCACCCTCCATGTGTTTGCCAAGGTTCAAGAAAAATTCTTCACTGGCATGCCGTGGCTTTCATTGTACTCATCCTGTTTTAGAGGCTTCTTCTTTACCTCTAGATCTGTCCCATTCGCCTTGCTATGGTTTCAGTGTTGCTATCCCTGAAAAAGCCAATCTGAGATGTAGCTCCCAGTGCAATGTAGTGGTTCCCCTTTCTCCAAAGGGGATAAGTCCCAAGGCCCCCAGCGGATACCTGAAACTGCAAATAACACCATATCTGCCATGCTAACTTTTTCCCATCTGAACACATTCCTATGAGCAAGTTTAATTTATAAATTAGACATGAGACAAGATTAACTTCATTAGCTAATAGTGAAATAGAATAATTGTGACAATATCCTATGGCATATGAATGCGTTCTATGTCAGGTCCTTCTTCCATTGGATGGAGTGTGTTCTATGAATGTGTTCTATGTCAGGCCCTTCTTCCAATGGATTCTTCCATTACTTCCAGCATAAAACTAACTGACTGATTCTTCCATAACTTCCAGCAGAAAACCCTTATGTTCTCCCAGAGGGAAGCCAGAGGTGCTTCTGATCAGCAAGGAGGTACTTGGAAAAAGTCAGGATTATTAACACCAGAGCTTATCACGGGGTGTCTACCGAAGCTGCTTTTTACCTGTTCTCTCTCACCCTTTTTCAAATAAATGACAATCCTGTGATCTTCCATGGGCACCCACACTACCCAAGGTGAGCTTGGGTGGCCTTGGTTGCTGCTGCAGCTCACTCTGGATGACTTATGTTGGGCCCAAGCACAGTAAAGCTGATAAACGTGACTGTCAGGCCCCAGCCTCTGCCAAGCAGAGGCAGGATGCAACAAGACACACAAAGGCAGAAATCTTCTTGCTTCTGTAACATTTCCAGCTGGGAAACAAATCAGAGCCACACATTCCAGCTATGCTTGGGAAGTACTGAAGCATCCAGGCAGTAATCATCTAGGTATGCTAACTGCAGCTTGAAATAATTCGGGGGTTGCCAGTACCATATGCCTTGTTGTCTTCCAATTAACTGTGCTCGCGCTCTCTTTTCTCCAAGGAGCAGTTACTGAGAAACTCAGCATTTCTCCCCTTCCCTCCCCTCAGTCACTCAAGGAAAGGCTGTTGGACACCAGAATGTCTGACCGTTGCAATAAAGCTATCAGGCTATTCAGATATAGGCGTTGGAAGAGTTAGCCTTTCAGACGTGGATTTAATACTTGAGGTTTAGGAACATAGAATTTTGTGAGTGCCTAATGGTTGGACAATTCTCTAGAGTGAGACAAACACATGTTCCAGTTTGACCAGGGGACTCCTTGTCTCAGTGTGTTTACTAATAATGTCTTTCTTCTTCTCAGAACTGCTCAATTTGGACCCAAAATCACACAGTCACTTGGCCTTAAGGGTTATCTAGTCTGCCTTTCAGTTTTGTTCAGATTTAATGTAGCAAATATCTTTCTTTTTTTCCTCCTTCCAAACAGTGGTTTTCCATTTACTGCTTAATATTACCAGTGACGGGAGGGCCACTGCTTTGCAAGGAATCTTATCGATGATTTCACAGTTCTGTATGAGAATCTTTTCTTCCTTTAGGTCCAGCGTTTGAGTCTAGTTCCTTTCTCTGAAGGACACAAGAACAACTTTCCTCTCTCCACAGAATGTTTTCCATCTTGGTGTTATTTGTGGTAAGTTCCCTCTCCCTGAACCTACTTACATTGTCTGCAATTACTTTTTTCAACATTTCAAATTCCTGGGACCTTGATCTGATTTTGGCATCATACATCGGAAAGAAAAAAGCAAGAATTCTGCTAAGCCCTGTCGCAGAACTCCTTGGGAGAAAGCAGGCATATTTGTTTGAAGTTGGTGGATAAAAGATGCTGGCATTAACGTGAGCATCCTGTAGTGAAAATTTCTTTAGAACATTTATCATTTTATGAATGGAGGTGAATGACTTAGACAATATCTCTAGATGAATATTCCATACATAAAATGAAGCTCCAGTTAAAGACTCGTAAGCTAATGGCATAAGTAAGATTCATGCCTTGTTTTCTTTTGTGATTGTACCAATAATACAAGATGATTGTTGATTTATAGCATCTCAAAAAATAATGAAGAAAAGACCTACATGTAATCTCACCATCAGAGGTAATATTTCTGTCAATATTTTCATACATTTTTCTATGTGTATATATTTGAGAATTACACAATTTACCACTGATATATTTTTCTATTAATGTTATGCAATAACTATTCTCTACATAACTAAGTAAACTTTAAAACTTGCTTTTCATTGTTGCAAAATAATATATATTTTGTGCTTCTCAATGGACCTTCTACTGTTGAAGGTTAGGTTGGCTGTAACTATGTTGATGAATCCTTGTGAAGTCATTGATTATTTTCTTAGGATTGGCTCCTTGAAATAGAAATTCTAGTTAATGAACTATGTTGGTTTTCTTGGCCTGCCACAGCAGAATGCCATGGTGGGGGCTTAAAGAGTACATCTTCATCTTCTCATAGTTCTGAAGATGTGAAGTCCCAGCACACGTGGGTCATAGTGAGGGCTCAGTTGCCTATCAACAGATTGTAGACACAGAACTCTGGTGTCTCTCCCTTTTCTAATAAATCATAGGTCCTGGCCCTCATGGCCTCATTTAATCTTGTTTATCTCCTCTCAGAAGATGACTCCAGTTAGATTTCAGTTTAGGAGTTTAACAAGTGGATATTGAAGGGCTATAACATTCCTGATCTAAAAATATCAGTCGCAGGTTGATTCCTCTAGAGCCCCGCAGAAGAGCAGGAGAAACTTTCCTTTAGTGCATTCTTCTCATTGCAAAGGATTGTCATTCATGGAAGAAAATAAAAGCATAGCTAATTTGTTATTAGAAAAGTCATAGCTCACTTTTTAAATTTGGATTTCTTTGATTCTTCATGAAGTGAACAGTTTTCATATGCTTCTATGCTACTGATGGTTTGATTTCATGAAACTTTTCATACATTTGGTAGTTTTCTATTGTTTTTAAAAACTGCTTATTAATTTGTATGAGCTATTTATAGAGTCATAGTAAACAAGTGATGCTTAACATTTACTGTGTAAAAATATTGAAGACAAGCATATAACACATAGAATCTCCTTTACTATTCACAAAAACCCTGCATGTTGTTTTAAAACCTCACTTTAGAGACAAAAACCCTGGCCTGAGCAAGTATATATATTTCCTAACAGAGAAGTTTTTGCTCCTGCCTCCAGATTGTATCTGTGATTATTGCTCTGGTCCTGCTGTGTTTGGTTCCGTCTTTGCTAACAGCTATTATTTTAGATTGCATTTCCTTTCCACTTCTCCACATACATCATCTTCCCATTTATCTTAAAAAGGCTAACAATTATTCTGCTCCTCCTCCTTTTCGTCCTGCAGAGTCTGGGAGAGCTTTTCGAGTTTGTCCTATGCATTGCAGGTCTGATTTCCCAGTGTCTATTTCTCTGCCCTCTGTGCTGACTTCATTCTCGGCCGGTAACTCCAGCCTCTTTATCTCAGCAGCTGGCTTTTCATCTGGGTTTATTGTCTTTTCATTCCACGGCGCTGGCTTTTCCTCCCACCATGTTCCTCCAGTTCAACTTTTTGGCTTTTTGGTCCTGTTTCAGAGAGGCCATATATTCTTGGATACAATTAGAGATATAAAAACATTTCATACTATATCTTCTTTTGGATAGAAATAATTTTCAAAGGTATCTTCTTTTTGATCTCCAGGATATTGCTCCCTTTCTCATGAGCACTGGTACTTTTTTTGTAGGCCCTTTTTTAAGCTAGCTGACTACAAATCTTTGGATTAGACAGGTTACCTACGGATTAGACAGCTGACAGATTTGAGGGTTTTCTGTACAGAAACAAGATCTTATCCACTGCCTGATTGTCTGACACTCAGAACTGAGGCAATGGTGGACATGTACAGCCCAGGCCTGCACTGCTGTTGGATTTCAGTCTCTTTTCTTACATACATCCCTTGCCTTTGACAGCCACAGTCTATAGATGCAAAGCGCATGGTAGACATTGCTCGTTGTTGTCAGTCCATAGAGTTGATAGAAAATGTGAGTGGGATAGTGTTAGTGAGAGAGAACAGGGGGAGAAGAGGTTACTGGTATTTTATGCTAGCACTTTAGAAAGAAATCCTCCTACAATAGAATTTTCTGTGTGGTACTGAGCTGAGCAGACCGTGGGGAGGGTGGGGACGCTGTCCTCTTCATGAGGCGTAGACTTCTTTGCTTCCCAAGACCAGCTGTAACTTGGCTACTCACTGCTTCCCCAAGCTACCTTCCTCCATCTTGGGGTGGCGGGAAATGCTCTCCACAGTTAGGCAATCCTTGAATCACAAGTTTCATTCTCTAAAATGTGTGGGCCTTTGTCTGTTTAATGGGATTTGGAGAAGAGACTGAGGCAGGGACTGCTAACCACGTATCATTTTAACCTAGAGGTTCTTCACCCTGAATCTTGTTTGAGTTTTTTGTTTTGTTCAGCAGCTTGTTCTCAGACACTGAACTTTGCCTACATGGGTGTTGATGGCCCCGTGTGTCAGAATCCTTTTTGATGCCTCATTCCTCACTTACCAGGAGTAAGGTTGGGGTTCCTGCCTGTGTGGTTTCCACCTTCCCACCACTCCCGCCATGCTTCAGTCCCCCACCCTCTGCTGTACTGTTGTGTGGTCACTGCTGGCCTCGGCCCCCCAGCCACGAGCCTTGCTCCTTTCTGTCTTTGTATCACTGCTGGATGCCCATCTCTGGAGGACAGTGTGGGAGAGTTCCTGGCTGGGAGCTCCATGGCTCCTCTTTGTGATTCTGGTAAGTTTTAGCTTTGGACTGACATTCTAGATAATAGTACTTCACCTACTTTACCAGTCTTAGTGCCTGACTCTATCCTGCACCCCAGTCCTCCACTGTGCTGGGATCTGTCTCTCTGTTTCTGTGTCTGTGTCTCTGTGTCTTTGTCTGTGTCTGTGTCTGTCTGTCTGTCTATCTTTCTCTGTCTCTGAATCTCCCTGTGTCCCCTCCTCCCCTGCCGTCTTACCCATCTTCTAGAACTGCATCAAATTCAATCTTCTCTAAGAGGCCTAAACGCAATCTCTTCTATCTTTGGTCCCTGAACGCTGGTTCATCTATCAAATTTATTCTTTTTTGTGTTAGTGTAAGTGTGTGCACTACCTGATGCCTCGTTTCCAGCTTGTAAGCTTCTTGAAGTCCCCTGACCACAGTGAGCTTAAGTGATTCTATCTTGCTAAGCCTTGAATTCCCAGTAACAAAGAATGAGTAGACTAGCTCACCCAGTGACTGCAGCATTGTTCACGGGGATAATGTAAGAAGGACACAGGGCAGAGAGCTTGACACAGCAAGGTGCACACCATTTACTGGTGGATCGGGTGAACCAGTGAGTCTTCTGACTTCCTCCATATCTCACTATTCTAAGTGCAAGTCATTTTCTCATCCTAAACTTTGCTAGATTTGCAAGGCTTTCACTTCCAGTTGCATTCTATGTATTTGTTGTGCACTGCCAGAAAGTTTAGGGGCAAAGAGGGAATGATCAAATGTAACGACCATTAGTGAAAACCACAGGCACTGAACAGCTGGGTAATGTGAACAGGCAAGTTCAGCAGAATCTCCAGAAATGCATCAATCATAGGATGATGGCAACTTTCTGGGAAAGTTCAGAAATGCTTGAAAAGGAGCCAGAATGTGGAAGAAAAAGATTCTTGGAGTTGGGTTTTCAAAACCAAAGTCTCCATTCTGGCCACGGCACTTTGGAAAGGTGGTGAATTTGTGTGTAAGTAGACCTCCTCATTTTATGACCATCTTTAGGAAACTGGAGAGTTTGTTTGCTTTGGTTTTAGTTTTTTGAGCCACGTAATAATAGAAATTGCCTGGGGATGGTGTCTGCCATTGCTCTAGGAATGCAACTCTGCTCCTCCTCTGGGTATTGTAGTGCAGGCTCTTAGAATGAATATTGCAAAAGCCACTAATAATGTTCCTTCTCAGGTAACATTTTCTGGTATAAAATATCTTGGCTTAATATAGTCTAAATACACTGAAGTGTAATGTGGTCAGCATGATAACTTTCTGATACACAATACAATCGTCTTCACTTCTGTCTTGGTTTCTGTGGTGTCAGGGGTCCAAAACGAGTCAAGATGACAAATCCTTAGCTAAGGCGATGTGAAAGCCATCGTGGTGCTATACAGGCTTTATAGTCTCTCTTGAGAGGAAGTGCCGGGTAAAGTAAAAGACACTGAGTGGGTGTCAGGATTCAGTCCTAAAGCTGTGAGTGGGTGAAGCCAGTAGACTTGGACCCAGCACGTATCCACTGTGGCCCTTATCTCTTAATTGAAAGGAGCTTGGAGTCCTTCAAAATGCAGACTGCTCAATTCTAGATTTCCTCTGGCTGGAGAGGTGTAGATCACAGTGGTTAGGTCCCTGGAATCAGCAGGCTTGGTTTTGAACCAACTAAGTCCATTCATAGCTGAGAGTCTTAGATGAGTTGCTGAGATTACTGCTCTGGTTTCACTTTCTTTATCCATATGATGGGCATCGTGGTGTGATAGCAACCCTTGTAGCAGTTTGGCTGTGCCACAGGTGTTGATTGAGCTGCTGAAGAGGTTTATTAGGCACCCAGGGTCTTTTTGACAACTCCACCATCTAACTCTT